TCGTGGCTAAAATGACTTCAGTTCAGGTTTTTCTATCCTTATCTACTAATTTTGATTGTCCACTTCTTTAATTTGATGTTAAAATGCCTTCTTGAATGGAGACGTACATGAAGAAGTCTATATGTCTTTACCTCTAGGAGTGTATGGGAAGGAAATGCAAGGGAAAGTGTGTAAATTGAGGAAGTCTCTTTATGGCCTCAAATAGTATCCTCGAGCTTGGTTTGAGAGATTCCAAGCTGCCCTTGTTACTTTTGGTTACACAAACACAGTTTGATCATACCCTATTTGTTAAGAGGAGGGATTCTTTGGTGACATTTCTGATTGCTTATATTAATGACATTGTGGTTACTGGATATAACACCCAAGAAATGGTTAATCTCAAAAGGTTTCTTAACATTGAATTTGAGATCAAAGACTTGGGTGAGTTCAGATATTTCTTGGGAATTGAAGTTGCTCAATCTAAGGATGGTATCTTCATTTCTCAACATAAGTATGTCCTTGATCTACTTGCAAAAACTAGCAAACTTGGTGTTAAACCGACTTCCACTCTTATAGACTTAAATAACAAGCACTCGACTATTGATGGTGAACTGTTGACTGATAAGGGAGTGTTTCAAAGACTGCTTGGGAAGTTTGTATATCTTTGCATAACTCAGCTAGATATTTTATATGCAATGAGTGTCATTAGTCAGTTCATGCATTCTCCTAGATATACACATTTAGCAGCTGCTGAGAGGGTTTTTTTGTTACTTGAAAGGTACTCCAAGGAAAGGTTTCCCGTTTGCCAAGCATGGACATATGAATTTGGAAGCACACACTGATGCTAACTAGGCTAAAACCCTTTACCTTAAACGGACCAACTCATAGCACTAAAACCTATTTACCTAAGGGATGACCAGTCCTTTAAAGTCCCTTTGTGTTGTTTGTCTTGAAAAGGAGTTCTCAACCACTAGGGCACAAAAAAGACATGTGAAAATGACGGTCGAGTTCATAGCTCTATACGATGTTACAACCTGAAAATAAAGGAAGAAAAGAGAAGAAAAAGAAGTGGAAAATGTAGAGAAAGCTATCTGCTATAGTAGAGAACAAGAAGAAATTGAAAAAGGGTCTAAAGGAAGAAGATATGAACTAAACTCTTCCCCTTTCCAACCGGCATTGTTATTCCATTCTTTAAAATTCCCCTTGCTTCTAAGGCATTTGTCCATAAGATTAATTTTGCATTTAATCCTTCATTTTTGATAGTTAAGTAGAACATTTGTGTTAAGAGATTTAAAAGAAGCTCCTTAGCTTGTCCAAGCTAGACAACAAAGGCAAAGGATACAAACAGCATAAAGCCAACCATGCATAACTCATAACATCACAAATTTAGCATTACAAATGTTCCCCAAGCCCTGGTGATCCCCAAATACATCATTTTATAGTTACTCGTGTCATTAGTTTTATCAGAAAACAACACATGCCATGGGGTCTCCTACTGAATATGTTTAGTCAATTCACCTACGATCAGTGCAAATAAATAAGGGGCAAGTGTTGAACCTTGGTGAAGACCCAAGTAACCATAAAATCAGGTATCTTCCCCTGTCTCCATAGGTGTTCTAAAATCAGTTATCACACCCTCATGCATATCCTTAATTAGATTAATTACCTGTTTGGAACCCCTTCCTTTTCCAAGACCCACCATATTATCTCTCTAGGAACTCTATGATATGCCTTCTCTAGATCAATGAACACCATATGAAGATCTCTCTTTTCCTCTCTGAACTTTTCCATCAATCATGCATAAATCCAAATTGGTTCTTATATACTTATTTCATGTTGTAATTTTTGATCAATTATTCTCTCCCAAAGTTTCATATGTGGTTCATGAGTTTAATCCCTTTAATCCCCCGATAATTATTACAATCACCATTGTTCTTAAATATAAGCACCATAATACTCCTCCTTTCATCAAGCATCTTCATTTCTTCCATTATCTTATCAAATGAACAACATGTAGAGGATTCTAATAAAGGAAAGATAAGTAACACTAATACAGTTAAGAATAACATGTACCTTAATAAAATTAGAACTATTGAAGTGAACCAAACAGATGAATATCCTCTGGTTCCTTTCTTTCCAAATGCACCAAGAAATAGCAAATGAAGCAATACGCCATAAAACGCTACCTTTCTTGCCAAAGCCCCTCATTGTACATATTATTGGCACATCTGAGTAGGAAGAGGATCCTCAAGTAGAATAAGAAAAAATGACCAGCACCCTTACCACCAGATAAGGACCTAAGCTTTTAACTTTTTGCACAAAGTGGTCACTCTTGGTCTCAAACTAGAACACACAATCTCATACTTGTCAACCCAAGATAGTACCCTTTTATTTGATGGATAACAATGACTTTTATTGAGGTAATAAAAGGTTAAGTGTACATACAAGGTTTTTACATCCCATACTTAGGTTGGCGACCTTCCACCATACCCATTTTTATTTACAATCTGTCACTAATGAATCAGCCAAACAATTTACTAAACTTGTCACCCATCTGAAATCAAACCTCAGCTTGCTACTTGGTTTTTCTCCTTCATAGTATATCCATGCTGCCATCTTCCATGTCTTCTTACATATATCCCACTACTACTTTTGAGTCACCTTCCACCAATGTATTTCCTAAGTTTAGTATTCAGCATACTTTGAGGCCATGTAGTACAGAATATAGTTTCCTTCGACGGCTCCCATGTTACACCCATCAAAACTCAGATTGACCTAGTTCAGATTTGGGGGCCTCTAATCAACTTGAACCACATGCCTTTTAGTTAATATTTTGATACCCATTGCCCCCATCCCCTTTATATGTCATCATGGTGAATGGTGCAAAAATGTTCATTGTTTTCACCCAATGTCCTACTTTTGCTGTTACACACTTACACTTTCTATTATTTCTTCTTTCATCAGTTCCTTATCCTAGAATATCACATTTCTCTCCTGCCATATAGTCCGTGTAATTGCTACCCTACAATTCTAGATAACCTTTGCACTCTAGCATGCAGGACAAATGATATTTTGTAATACAGAAACTGCTAATACTTTCTGGAGTACTCCACCTGAAACCCCTAAGATTTTACCATTGCACCAAGCAATGTCCCCTCACCTTTACCACTAAATAACCTAATATAATACAAAACTAGTGCTTCCCCTCAATTCCATAATGGGATAGGTACAAAAATATTGAGAAATAGAGTAATAAATTTTTCATGGGGTAGAAAGGTTGGGAAAAGGGGAGATTACAAGGTTAGGTCTCTAGCACTAATCAAGTTTGATTCTAGTCAGAGTTTGAATCGAGCTTGAATCTCAAGGTAAGCTCAATTAGTTATTTGAACTCGAGATCGCCCAATAAAAAGTTTGGTTCGAAAGCTCGCAAGCTGGCTCGAAAAATATTCATAATATATATATGTATAAAATACATCCTTATATTTTATATATAATATAAGAATATACTATATATTATAAAAATATATCATATGTATAATATAAAAAAACATTCATTTTTGAGCTTTCGAGCTGAACTCGAGCTCATCAAATATTTAATTGAATCAAGCTTAAATAGGAAAATAAAATTTGAATCGAACTTGAACTCGAGCTCAAACCTAGTAGTATTTTAGTCTAGCCAAGCCAAGACATGCCAACGTTTGGCTCGGTTCAGCTCGATTGCACCCCTAGCAATTGAGGTGTAGAGCAATAATAATTAAGAAGAGCATGGTCTGAGGTTTCCATAAACTAGTGTAGGATAATAATCATTGTATATTATCTAGAAATGTCAATGGTTAGGTTCTAGTTCGGGACAGGGTATACCAGTCTCATTCCAATTATTAATTGGGACTATAAGAAAGACCCAGAACTGAACTTGTTATTAATCAAGGCAATCGAGTCTGACAACTCTGACCCGATTATACTTGGCATCTATAATTACTAATGATAATAACAAATTAGAACTTCATTTTCATAATACTTGGCATCTAAACTATTTATATGTTGATAAAACAAGTTTTTTAACCATAATTGTCTTGTATACTGTTCATAAAATTTACCCTTTTAGATATAAAATATAACAAAAATTACAATATGTATGTATATATATATATATATATATATACTGATCCAATTGGGAATCCAGACAAAACCACAGAACCGGAATAAAAAAATACACTGGTTCTATAAGCTGGCAAAAAGTGTGTGATTGTCTGTCCCTGCAGCAGTGATAGTACCATCTGGGTGGAAAGAAACAGAATAATTTTCCAAAACTGAACGAAAAATGTAGATTTTCTAATTTCCTGTACCTTTGGTAAACAAGTTTCTTGGACTGCAGCTGCAAAAGGTCTCCAGACCAGGGTGTTTGAAGCCCAGCTGAGTTCTAGAAGCCTGTTAGAGTTGTAATGTAGTTTTGGGATTTTGACCACTGGTTTTGGATCTTTATTGGGGGACTTGGGGCCTCTCTTTTATCTTTGTTCTGTTCCTAATAAAATTACTTTACCTTTTTTCAAAAAAAAAAACACTGGTTCTGTGGTATTGTCTGGATTACTAATTGGGTCAAGACCAGTTCTTGCTGTTCCAAACTGATTCAGACCTGAGCTCATTATATAGTTAATATTATATATATATATACATATATATATATATATCCCACTTTTTATCTGAATTCTATATAATTGGCTGTTTTTCTATATCAGTTATTTTTTTCTCCAACCATTCTATCACTAGTTCTGCTTTTATCTTCTATATTACAACTACAACTTTGCAGTTTTTTTGTTGCCTCTTCAGCATTTCTCATCAATTTTGAATTTTAAAGATGTGATGTCCATTTAGCTGCAAAAATTCAATTTATAATTCTAGACATCTAACAGAAGGAATAGCTTCTATTGATGAGTTTTTAGACTGTTATTGGACACTAAAGAACAAGACAGCAATAGTAGTGAAGTGATGGTTCTTTTCTCTTTTCTTGGTAAGAAACTGACCATGGAACCTCCTGCAGATGTGGAGTAAGCTGTACTCCCTGTAGGTGTGGCTACAATGACTCCATCACCTTGCACCTAAAATACATGGATATCAATCAATTATAAAAGGATCATTAACCATATAAAAAACTACAATGGAACTGCACAAAGAATATTCCAGAAAGCTTATCAAATAACAGATCCATCATTCTTACTTTTGTTATAAAGCGGTCATGCTCATAGCACTCAATCTTAGAAAGGTAGGGACTAGAACCACGATCAACAACAACTTCATTCAGGACATCAAAAACTTTCCCAGGCACTGCTTTACCATTGCGGAAAATTTCGCAGTGGAGGCGCATTCTAAGTGTTAAATATATGCCATCCAATGTGTTGTTCCCATGTATAACTTGCCTTAAGTCCTCCATATAGTCTTCAAACTGTGGTTGAAAAGGGATGTTATCTTAGGGAAAAAGTGTAAAGAAAGGGGTAAAATTTGGACTCTAAAGGTAGAGGGAAGAAACATACATTATGAGAAGTGAGAAATCCGAGAGATCCAAGATTAAAAGATAGAATAGGAGGAACAGATCCTCTGAATAAATATGATGCATGGAGTATAACCCCATCTCCTCCCAAACAAGTCACAAAGTCAACTTTCTCATGCAGATCACTACATCAAGGTTATCCAAAAATGGTCAAGTAAAAGGGCTTCAAAAAAAAGATCAAGTAAAAGACTTACAAGAAGCAGGCACAATATCAAATCTTATTTTAAATGCTTTTGCCTTTTGATAGCATTATGTTTCCATACCTAGTGTCTTGACTATGAAAGGTTTGAACAAATCCGAATCCAGGGATTCTTACAAATATGTCACGCACATCAGGTTCCACAAAAACAGTCATTTTCTCTTCGTAATACAAAAAAGCTGCCACCTATAGAACAGAGGAATAAGGTGAAACATCTTGGAGAAGTATTGGCTCCAGTATTAAAAGAAGAAACTCCTATAATGAATGTTCTTCAATATATAGGTTTAAAACTCACATGGTTATATCTAAACATATACATTGAATTTAATATACCGACCTCACAAGGTATGTATTGATAAGCTTTTTGAGGTCATCCTCTATGCATAATACAAATTACATTTACCTTTCAAAAAACATCTCATATATTTTACAATTAGTGCTCTATCCTCCTGCACAAAGAAAACTGCTTCCTTTATCTCCTCATCCTCAGCAAATCTTCTTTGAAGTCAATCTTTCTTTTTCTTTTTATTCAAGATCTTAATACCATGACATTCCACAAGTAATGACCTCCTTCCTCCCTCCTAACATTTCAAATGGGTTTTATGTCTCATCATGGGCACTTATTTTTTGGTCAATATTTCTATGTCTGATACCTTCTCCACACAAGCCATAGCCTTTTCATAACTGTTTAACATAGCTTGATGAATAGAGATCTGGATGATTTCCTTGAAATTCTTGATAATCACCTACTTCTCTTCAACCAAATTTACCTTGATTGGCAACCATAAGGATTTACTTGTACTGCTCTTGTAAAGTTTCATTATAATTGGAAAAGTATAATAAAGCTTTCAAAAGTTGAGTAAGTGCACTGTCAAATTCTACTATAAAAAGTAAGGTACTGCAAGACTTAAACTAGAGAAGTCATCTAAAGCTGTAGGGGAACTATTCAAATTTCACAAGTATGCAGAAGTTTCAGGGAGTCTTCCATTACAGATAGTTTAGGTGTTTCTGTTTTTATTCTAATTTATTTATCTGTTTTTATTCTAATTTATTATCCATCTTCTCACGCTTGTTAGCACAAGATTTTACCACTACATGATCAATGCTGAGTAGCCAAATACCTTAAAGTGAAAGTTAACAATGTGCAAACTGGAATTCAGCTTATGAAAATCTCTAATTTCCATGCCTAGCTTCTTATATTTCATCATTTTATATCTCCAAACCTATAATTTATTTCTGTTTCTCTATTGCTTGCCATTACTCACAGGCTGAACTATGATCATCTTCTAAATCTTGGGACCATCTGCAACGTGACACAATTATCATTCTTTGATGCCAATAACTATAGTTACTGAGTAAAGGTAGAGGTTAATTTTTTAAAAGATTACCAAGAAATTGACATCGAACCTTTTTAGTTTCTTCTATGAGCTCACGCCCCAATTTCTTCAACAATAGTACACTTTTTGGTGTTGATTTCCACATAAGCATCTGCTGCTTTGTGCTGGGATGAGTGAAGGCGAGGGAGGATTCTGTTACTTTTTCCCTAGTACAAGTAAATCCATCTGTGCGGACTAAGAACATCTCTGCTTTCTTTCTTGATTGCACTCTTACAACACCAGTTGTAGAAGCCCACATATTCCCATCAACAATCTCCAAGACATCATTAAATGAACCCGAGGAGGCTTTACCATGACCCATTTGGTCCTGCTTAACACTTCTAGATGTAATATTTCTTTCCACATTATCCGGATTCTCTTTAATAGCTGTAGATGTAATACTCCTTTTCAAGTTATAACTCACACTGGTAGAAGTATATTTTTCAATCCCAACAAGATTTCCTACTTTGGAAAACCCATTAACACTTGCAGAAATAGAAATGGATCTATCTCCATTAGAAGAGTTTTGGGGTTCTGAAAATGAACTTTTACCATGAAATGGCCCATTTGAAATTCTTTCCCTCTCCAGCTCTGATATATGAGGAGTTCCAATGATTTCATTGTTATGATCTGTCTTTGTAATTGTCCCTACAGAGAATTTTGATACCCTCAATATTTTCCATTTATAATCTAAAAAAGTGGGAGGCCAGATCTTCCTACTTTTGAAAAACCTAGACATCTCTCTTCTGGAGAAAACATCACAGATTGGGAACTGAGAATTTTGCGGATCAATTTCCCTCCAGAAGCCTTCGGGAGACCTTACCCCTTCTCCAGTGACACTAATCCCTTGTATTGATGTACTATAATGAGAAGAAATAAGGTTTCTAAGGGTTCCATTTCCAGTATGATCTTTGTTCTCCGGGGATAAAGAAACTTCTTCCCCAGATATCTCAGTAGCACGGTTGGTGGCATTCAAACCCTTAAAATGTGAAACATTAGCATCTTCCAAATGCATGCCTGATTTTAGTTTGGATGATGTCTGTGGACCCCCTTTTCTTTCTGTATCTTTGGAAAAAATTTCAGTGGGAGCGGTTGGGTTATTTGAGACAGATTGAATATAAGAGCGAACTATATTGTATTGCCTCCATCTTGAGACCATTAATGCAGAAGACCTCCAAACACCTTCCTGGGTATGAAGAAAAAGTGGCCTATTATTGGAATCTGATACTGAAGATGCATATTTTTCAACCTGATCAATTGAAGGTGCAGTTCTGACTTCAACCGGCAATTTTCCCACTTCAACCTTTCCCTGCAAGACGGCATCATCATCAATAGCCTCTTGATAGAAGTCATCCTTGACAATCACTGCTCTAAGATTTACGATAGTTTTAAATCCTCTTTCTATTAACCACTTCAAACCCTCATCTGTTATTTGACTTCCCTTCCAGAAAGCTATTGAATTTTTTGATGCAGCATCTTCTTTAGTTGTGGATAGATAAACAGGATCCCAGCTTGCCAACATTGTTTGGTGGGGATAATCATCCATACGAGGAAAACTAACATCATAACAGACATTCTTTAACCTCAGTAATTTCCTCCATACATTATTGGTACTTGTGCTGTCAGATGGTACCAAACAGTTATCAAGGGCAATATGCAAACTCCCACGACACCTTTTCATCTCACCCCTGAAAATGGCAAGTGGTGGAAGATTATTTTCCAAGGAATTTACATTTACAACTCGAAAAGAATTCATGGAAGCAGACCTCCCAGAAGGAAATAACCTTATTTAGAAAAGGTTCAATGGAACCAAGAACTGCTGCTACTCTGTCCACCAACGCAATGGTTTCTCATGGTCAATGGATTGTATAATGTTGCATAATTATGGAAGAAAACCTACGTACTATAATTACTATTTATATGAATATTATGTATAATTTTATAAATTTTATAATTAATGAATTTAATATTTAATATTTATATATATTTATTATATATATTAAAAATAATCAATTTTAAAACTAAAATGTGTGTTAGTATTGTTTTTTTCCTTATGTTTGGAATTGTGTGGGCATTTATCGAATAAACAATGCCATATAGGCATTATTTCAGCATTCCCCCCATTATGTGAATCCATATGTACGAGGACTTGCAAAAGTAGACTTGAATTTATGTGTGTGTCTATTATTAGGGGAAGCTTCATTTTAGCATATAAAGGTTTATTCACCATTTTACTGATGTGACACTTAAATGTAAATAAACGAGTTCACCATTGCTTTTCTCTGTTTTCAAACAAATAAAGTACAAAATATTTAATCAATAAACATCCACAATTTCAAACTCATACTTTATTATTACTATTATTTTTTGTTACTAATTAAGTTTAGTTCGGAAGGAATACATACAAATACATACAAAATAAACAAAATACAAGGTTTTACAATCTACAAATTTACATTTGTATTCCTTCTAAACTGAGACTTAAAGACATTAATGTGACTGTTATTCCTTGAATGGGTCTTTATTATATCAACTTCATGTGCTTTGAAGTGGCTAAAACATAGTCAGGTAGTTGACAAAAGGAAGTTACGTATCCTACCTTGTAGGTAGGATATAGTTTTGAACTCCAGAGGACAGACTTTGTCAAGATCATGATAAGTTCTTAGAGGCTCCAAAATTGTTGGGCTTCTTCCAATAGGAAAACTCCAACGTTGGCCTAATATACTTTATATAAAAGGGGTTATCTTTAATTGAAGAATAATATGAGCTATGAGCAATTAAAGACTCTTTTACATGAGAAGAGGTTCTATATTGTCCACAGTTGGTTCATTGAATGTCCTATAGTCGTGTACTATAGGATATTTCAAGTGTGAATTACACAATGCTAATTTCCTATCAATGGGTTGCATATTGTGGATATGAAGATTCCTTAATACGCTTCAATTTTAGCAATGTCTCCAAGGACAGGACTAGGGGTGCAAGTCGTGGGTTGGGTTGGATTTTAGTTTAACCCAATCCCAATTTTAAAAATTGGGCCTAAAGCTTGAGCCTGAGCCTGAGGGCATGTCTGAACTATCTAACTTAAGCCTAGTCCGCACTACAATTTTGTTACGCTCATGTTGGGTTTGAGCTCAAGACGGGTTCAGACCGGTCAATTAGACCACATTAAAATTTGGTATGCATGTATGTGTATCCATGTATGCATGTATATATGATTTTCTAAAATAGTATGCATATATGCATGTATATATATATGCAAATATGTATCTATTTATGCATATACTAGCGGGGACCTATGTGATGTATGGGCTTTGTTAATTGACTAAACAATAGGTATATGTTTGGCATCGATGCTGCAGTTGTAGCACCGTTTTTTGAGAAAATGGTGCCTTTATTTTTGTTTGGAATCGTTGCTTCCAGATAGGACATTTCCTGGAGCAACAACAACTTTTTCTGTTTGGTACCATTGCTCCAGGAAACGTTTTCAGCACTAGTACCCATTATCCAGTGCCACATTAGTGCCACATCACTGCCCTGTTGGCAACAACAAGCTGTAGCTCCAGGAAACACCAAATTTGGCATTGCTCTAAGCTATGGCTTCTCGATTTCCGAGGCGTGGCTTGGAGCACACGATTCCAAACAAATGCCCGTTTCTTGGAGCACCGTTTTTTCTGATGTGGCGCTGATGTGGCATTGTCGCTCCAGGAAACGAAAACGATACCAAACAGCCCCTAGAAATACAAAAGTGTATATAATTGCTTCATATTTTAACATTTTAATAATCAATCCGATCGAACTCAACTCGAGTTGGTCGGTTTTCTAGTATTTCCAATTGGTTGTGGTTTAGCAATTTTCCAACCCAACCAAGTTAGGTTAGTTTCGGTTTTGCCATTTGAAAATCCATCAAAACTAAACCTACCTGACTATATATATACATCTTAAATTTAATTTTTAAGTTTAAATCTTTTGAACAAACAAACCAAATCGATACAACCCGAGTTGGTGGGTTTTCACTAATGGTCAATCGGTTTTGGGTGTTAAACTCCCAACTTGGCCAAGTTGATTTAGTTGGCAAAACAACTTGCAACTAAACTGAACCAATCCTTGAACACTCCTAATTTCAGCTAAATTAATAGTCAAATTTCTAATAAATAACAATAGTTTAATCTCCAAAAATTATAAAAAAAAATACATAGTTATTGAAACTAAATTTATAATGAACCAAGTTGATTTGGTCGGCAAAACAGCTAGAGAAGCTATTTATCTATTTTCTTAATTTGTTGCATTTTTCTTATTTTATTTTTCTTTAAAATATAAAAAGTAATCATTGTTCATTTTGTTAGATCAATAAATTTGTAAACTATTATAATGAGAAAGAAAGAGAAACCTTTGGGTTTTCCGAGGCCTCTTATTTTAATGCATGTTATTATTACATTTAAAAAATATATTTAATATAAATAGGTTGAGGTTAAATAATCAAATATAAAACAACAAAAATAAAAATATTATTTTAAAAAATTATTAATTTAAAAATCCACTAAACTTACACTTAAAACTAATTAATAAATATTAACAAAACTTAGTTTCAATTCCACTTAAAACTTAATAAGCGATAATAAAAATAATAAATTTAAATACAAAAAATATTAATTGATAATTTTAATAATATTATGATTTAAACATGGGTTTGATATATTGCAAATAGAACCCATGTTCTGATGGTGTATTTTGTTTTGTTTATTCTTTTTATTTTATTAGATAACTTTGTATTAATGCATTTTTAATTAATTATTAAAATTAATAACTTTATAAGTTGAGACCTTTACTATATAATGCCTATACTACACAAGAGATTTATAAATTTTAATGAAAATTTAAAATGTAGAACCCATTTTATCACTTAGGAAAAGAAGATAAGTTAAACAGGTCTATATTGACCCATTTTCGAAAATAGTTCCAGTTTATCTATATAATAAATATATAAAATAATAATAATAATTTGAAACTTAATAACTATAATTAATAAAAATGAATAAAGTTAATGAAAATATTAAAAGTTAAGAAATTAATAAAGATTAGTAGTTCATAAATTAAAAAACTAAAATACAATTTAATTCTATTTGAATATAATTAATATTAATAAGATAATTAAAATTAATAATAAAAATATAGGATAATTTAAAATTAATAATAAAATTTAATTATGTCATAAGGCTCCTACTTAGGGATGACCATTTATAACTTAGTCTAACCTTAGGCTCAAGCAAACAATGCGGGTAGTAGGGTTGTAAAATTAATAAAATTAAGAAGACATATTTTAGTTTATAACTTAGCCTAACCCGATTAGATCTATAAATTTTCATGCTCAATCAACTTTTTTTTTTTGAGTTAGGTCAAGCTCAAAGATGCACCAAGCTCACACATAATGTGGGTAGTAGGGCTGTAAACGGATCGAATTTAAATCAAATCCAACTACATCCACATCAACATCTGATTATGAAATTTCTAGATTTGCATCAATATCTCATTATTATAATGCTGGATTTTGCATATATTAATATCTATGTATATACAATAATTATACTATATATACAAAATAATAATTTTTTATTAGACGTGGATTTTAATCAAATTGAATGGGGTTAAATCCACATCCAATTGAATTATTAACCAGATGCAAGTTCTAACATCCAAATCTAGGATAATCGGGTTTGAAGTTTAATTGAGTATCGAACTTTTGAAGTCCAATGATGGTCCTAGTGGATAGGGCCTAAGCTAAACAACCCATAGTAAACTCAACGTGGAAATTATATTCACATATGGTAGATATTATTATATAATATTTAGATAACAAATTTTATATTAATATATAAAAATATAAAAAATATATATTTTTTAATTTGTAAAAAAATCATAGTTTTATAATTAACACGAGCAAGCTTGTAGGCCGAGACAAATATTATTAAACTTAAGGTGTGGTGTGGGCTGGGCTAGGCCAAGCAACATTAAAATCTACTAACGCATTATCAAAATTTAGCCCGAGATTTTTAACTTTTTGGTTCATTAGGCTACACAATGGGGTAACCCATCCTAAGAGGTGTAAATCGGGTCATGTAGCCCGCAACTCGACACGATGGTTCACGAGTCGTGTCGGGGCACAACATGATTGTATGGGTTGTGTCAAGCTTGGGGTTTCAAGTCCACATGCCGGGTCAGGCCGCTTGTGGCCCGTGGGCTAACATGGCATGGCCTATATATATATATATATATATATATATATATAATAAACAATTGCTTTCAATTTTGCTATACTATTTTATTTAATTATTATATATATAAACAATTGTATATATCAAAATTCATATAAAATAAAAATTTTAAGATTTCTTTTCAATTTTTTTAAATAAACCTTTCATAATCCATGGCCCAGCCTGGCCTGGCCCAAGGCTCAACTCGTGGCAAGGCACGGGCCTACATGGGCTTAGGCTATGGGTCATGTTGGCTCATGTTGGCTCGAGCTACAAGCAAGTCATGCCATGCCAACCCAGTCCGATCCGTTTTACAGCTCATCCTTCATAGCTACTTATTTAATATTATCTAAAAATAGTTAAAAAAAACCCAAAAATAATGCATGCATGGGTTGCACTTGGTCTGGTTCAGTCCAATTACGAATGTTACAATGCATGTAACTTGGGTCGGTTGGGTCGGGATGAGGATCAATCCTAAGTCTTAAACCTTAAGTTTGGGCTTAGATTAATTTAATTATGACTATAGCCTAATTTTATATGTTTACTGATATTTAGGTATTTTAAATATTTAAGTGATATTTACAAACAATTAAAACATTTAATCATTAATAAAGTAAAATAAATAAAATAGAATACTAACAAATAATATGGAAAAAATAATTATTTTATTAAGTAACTAGTGAATGACCCCGTACATATATATAATAAACAGTAATGATTTTTATCACCATTTTTTACTACTATTTATAAACTGCCATTTTTTAAGACATTCATACAGTCTACAGGTCCATATAAATTGACCCTTATATGTCAAACCCGTAAAATTATATGGGTCATTAAATTCAACTTGAACCATTTATTACTTTAATTTAACCATTCTTATTATTAT